ATCTACACAATGGAATACTACTCTGCTATGAAAAAGAATGAAATACTACCATTTGCAGCAACATGGATGGACTTAGAGAAAATTATATTAAGTGAAACATGTCAGGCACAGAAAGAGAAATACCACATGTTCTCACTTATTTGTGGGAGCTATAAATAAACAAATAAACACACAAACAAATAAAGGTGCAGGGGGAAGAAGACACAACAATCACAAAAATTCCTCTAACTTTTTAAGTCAAGTGAACAGATATGGTGGGGGGGAGGTTAGAGGGTGGAGAGGAATGGGTAAAGAGGCATGAAAATCAACTACAATGTATATTGAGAAGTAAAATAAAAATTTTTTTAAAAAGATACTATGCTTTATGGGGCCGGCCTGTGGCTCACTCGGGAGAGTGCGGTGCTGATAACACCAAGGCCCCGGGTTCGGATCCCATATAGGGATGGCCGGTTCGCTCACTGGCTGAGCGTGGTGCTGACAACACCAAGCCAAGGGTTAAGATCCCCTTACCGGTCATCTTTTAAAAAAAAAAAAAGATACTATGCTTTTTAAAAATCACTATTGTGGGGGCCGGCCCGGTGGCGCACTGCGCTAGTGCGCTGCTTGCGAAGCGCAGAGGCGCTCCCGCCGAGGGTTCGGATCCCACATACAGACCGGTTCCCGCTCACTGGCTGAGCGAGGCGTGGGGGCAACACCGAGGGTTGCGATCCCGTTGCCGGTCCCGGTCCGGTCCGGGGGCGACACTGAGAGTTGCGATCTGTTGCCAGACACGGAAAAAGACAAAAAAAAAATCACTATTGTGACTTCCAGTCAAGATGGTGGAACAGGTGGTCCCCAGCATCACTCTCTCCCACAAATCAACCAATTTACAACTATAAAAAAGCAATGACAGCCAAGCTGGGGCCACTAGAGCTCAGGGGAAGAGAAGAGACTTATGGAATGCAAGAAGGTGGGAGAAGCCAAGATGAGAGAAAGAAAAAACTGCTCTAACCATTTCGAGCCCTGGCCACTTCCAGGCTGGAGCTGCTGAGTGCACAGAGCACGATTTGGCAAAAGCTGCAGCTGTGCCCTTCAGATGAAGCTGCTTTGAGGTGGCAGGGGAGAAGAGGGCCTTGGTGGCCCCCAGGCAGCAAGACCACTAATAGGGTTCCTGTGGACCCACATAGGAGCAAGGAGCTACAACAACTGAAAAAAAATAGCCACTCAGAGGCCAGTGAGTCATTGCAAGGGACCAGTGCAAGGCCCATCCCATGGGAAGTGTTTGGAGCACAGACAGTGGGGGAGACGAGCCCACCAGGGGAACAATGGGGCACAGCAAGGAGAGCTGATCTGCACCCCAATCAGCATAGGGCCGCTCAGAGGAGACTGGTCAGGAATATAGAATTGCACTGGGTACAGTTTGCTGAAAAGACTCAGGCCCACACCACAGCTTCTACACAACCCAGGCACACCAGATTTTACTAGACCTGGAAGTACCTGTGAAGTCAACATTAAAACCTGAACTGCACAAAAAGCCTTCCCTAGGGAATCAGCAGCAAAGTAGCAATTTAGCTAAACCACACAACTCAAGTACTAGTCCCCACTGGAAGTTCCCCCCATTTTACAAGTAAGCAAAGGACAACAAATTAGTTACAGTGCAGCGCTTAAGTGGTGGGAACAGCAAATAATCCAACACAGAACCGAAAGAAAAAACAAGGTACCCACAACCAGAGACATAGTTTGATATTAAGTAATAAAAGTTTCATTTCACCAAAGACACCTATAACATCTAGAAGGGCCAAAAGTCCTCTGGGCTACCAAGCCAGAGGGGGGGATGGCAGGGGTCTCAACAATGCCCCAACACCTCCAACCAGTGCCAAGGGTGGGAGACGAAGGTCTTGGCCACACACCTCCAACACGTACAACCACCCCAGCGATGACTACCAAGCAGCCATAGGAAGCACCCTGGGCTCTGCAGTGCCAGAGCAATGGGTGGCCTCAGGCCTCGGCCACACCCTCCGACATGCACCGCCAGCCCAGCAACTACCACTAAGCCGCAGCAAGAACAGCCCGGGTCCCCAAGCTGGGATGGTGGTGGGTGAGGGCTTTTGCCACAACCCCCTGACATCTGCACCCAGCCTGGCAATGACCAAACCACTGGGGAAGCCCCCAGTCTCCCCTGTGGTAATGAGGGGGATGCCACAGACCTCAATCCTGCCCCTTCTCCTTCCTCCTTTTTCTATCACATTTCTTTCCCCTTTCCCCTCTCCCCCTCCCTCCCAACGGCTCCGTAACAACATCCTAGAATGCAAAAAATATATATATTAATACAATTACATTTAAAAAATTAAAAATAAATAAATAAATAAATAAAATCACTATTGTATGTTGAATGAGCAAAACATTAGACTAGAGGAAAAATACATTCCTTTGTTGTCCCTGTTAAAAAACAAAAACAACTTCAGACAAATTCAGTTAACAGAGCTTAACTGAGTAAAGAACAGTTAGCAAATCAGGAAGGTGCCAGAACTAGAATATGTTCAGAGAGACTCCAGGGCTGCTGCATGGTCAGCTAAGATTTATAGACAGAAAAAGAAAAGTGACATACAGAAAATGGAAGTGAGGTATAGAAACAGCTGGATTGGTTACAGCTTAGAATTTACTTCATTTGAACACAGCTTGAACAGCTGGCTGCCTGTAATTGACTGAGACTTGGCTACTTGTTACAGAGCACATTATAGTCTGTTTACACATCAAGTTAGCTTACAGTTCACTATGTCTGCAGAAATCTTTAGTCCAAACCTAATTGAACATTCTGCTCATGTTTATCAGGCTTTCAGTTAGGACCCCAAAGATCTATGAGAAAATAAGTGCCTCTTTAAATGTTATGACTAGGCTGGCCAGTTAGCTCAGTTGGTTAGAGCATGGTGCTGATAACACCAGGGCCTAGGGTTCTATCCCTGTACTGACCAGCCACCAAAAATACCAAATTAAATTTAATTTAGAAAATTAAATTAAATTAAATTTTAAAAATAAAATAATAAATGTTATAACCTAGTTGCCTAACATGCCTTACACTAGTCTCAATCCTGACACCGGGAGTGAGAGTAAACCAGAAAAAGACTAACCTGTACAGGAGCTAAAGCCCAACTTTCAAGTCATTTCAGTCTCAATTTTAATCAAATTAAGATGATCTGGAATTGCTAGTGCTCCTAGCCTAGCTGGCTGCCAGATGCAAATGTGTACCTTCTCTGGAGGAATATATAATCAAGAGCCTCAAATTAGTTCTATAAATTTTCAAATACAATGTCTGGCACTCGGTCAAAATAACTAGGCCTATGAGAACATAAGATCTGACTAAAAACCAAGAGGAATAAAACAAAAATAGAAATAGACCTAAAGGAGATCCAGATAATGGAGTTATCAAACATAGACTTTAAAACAGCAATGATTGCTATGGACTAAATGTTTGTGTGCCCCAAAATTCATACGTTGAAGCCCTAATCACCCATGTGATAATATCTGGGGGTGGAGTCTTTGGGAGGTAATTGGATCATGAGGTGTAGTGTATTGAATTATGTTCCCCCCAAAACTTATTGAAGCTTGAATTGTGGCCCCCAGTATTATGTATTAGAAACTTAGCCCCCAATGTGACTGTTAACAGGGTTGGAAATCATATTATGGTAATTAAAAGGGAGCCTTGAAGAGGTGATTGGATTATAGGTCCGTGCTGTGGTGAATGGATTAAAAATGGTGGTCAGGGACATGGTTCTGAGAGCTTTAAAAGAAGAGGAGAGTCTGTCTTTCTCTCTCTCTGCTTCCACCATCTTGCAATGTGAGACCACTGGGTCACTGTCACCACCACCAGATGGACTTTGTACTTCCCTGCCTCAGAAACTGTAAGCAATAAATTTTATTTTCTTCATAAATTACCTAGTTCCAGGTATTCTGCTACAGCAACACAAAAACTTACTAATACATGAGGGTAGAGCCCTCATGAATGGGATTAGTGAACTTAAAAGAAGAGACATGAGAGAGATGATCTCTCTCTCCACCATAGGAGGATACAGCAAGAAGACAGTCATTTGCAAACCAGGAAAGGGCCCTTGGCATTAATGATATCAGCTAGCACCTTGATCTTGGACTTCTCAGCCTCCAGAACAGTGAGAAATAAATGTCTGTTGTTTAAATCATCCAGTCTATAGTATTTCTTACAGAAGTCTGAGCTGACTAAAACAATGATTAATATGTTCAAAGAATAAAAAGATAAGGCTGGGGATTTGGGTAGAGAAGTGGAAACTATAAAAATGAAGGGAAATACCATAACTGAAAAAGAAAATAACTGAAAGTAAGAATTCAATTGGTTTAGCAGCAGATTAAAAACAAAGAAGAAAGAATCAGAGAACTAGAATGTAGGTCAGAAGAAAATATCTAGAGTGAAGAATAGAGAAAAAAGGATCAGAAACACAGAAAAGTGCATAAGAGACCTATGAAATACATTTTTGAGTGAAGAGGCATGCAAGTATTATGTTTTCTCCCTTATAAATGAGTTTTACCTCTTTTCTTGTTATAACTGACTTTTTCAAACAAAACACCTAAATTTGATGAGCAAAAATCAGAAATAACGTTTGAATCCATGAAATAGCATCATAATATACATCTCACTATATAACGGAGAAGAAAAAAGAATTACTCAAAGCACCATGAATGCATTGAGAAGCCTGAAGGGTCTGTATCCCAGAGCAAACTGTGTAATGAGAATGTCATCTATGTAATGATAAATCAAGGCACCTGGAAAAGCCATACAAGCAGGGAGTAAAGCACAATCTACAAAATCATACCTTGAGGGAGGACTTTCCACTGATATCTTTATAAAGGAGTCCCAGCATTAATGCTAATAATGAAAGTTGCTGGATGAGTAAAAAACCCACATCTCAAAGGAAGAAATTAACATAAAATTCAAACACATAAATAAGATGAAGACTTTTCTGTTTTTTTGTTTTGTTTTGTTTGTTTCTTACCTTTCCCGGGGTTGTTGTTGAAGTTTTTCAAGTCGCACTACAGATAGCTGGTTGGAGTGGTGCACAGAACTTGGAATCCCCACAGTAACTTTCAGGTCTGGGGATAAGAATGCTGGATATTCTACTGGCTGTGGTATAATAACATTTCTGCAAAATGGTAATAAAGTTAAATATTGAAACTATACAAAAGTGCACCTCTAAAATCCATGGTAGCTATAACTTTTGAATCCTTCCCTCTTTTACACTTTCAGCTTGCTTATTCACCTTGGGCCATCAGAGGACAAAGCTAGAAAAAGAAGAGTCAGAAATCCTAAGAGAACTGCTCTCTTGATTATTCGTACTACTAAGATCATGGGCAGCAAGGACGGGAAAGGAGAGAAAGACCTGAAGTTCTAATGAGAAGCAGAAAGTATTTAAGCTCATTCTGTATGTCCCTTGCCTTCAGCAATCATCTCAGCTGGCTGTGATTCTTTACCTGGATGGGTGACCCAAACCTTCACTCCTTAAGGGTATGGGCCATGAGTAATCCTGCCTAGATCAGGTTGTTATAGTTTTCCATAGAAACCTTATTCACAGAGCACGGTAATATTTAGAGATGCCCTAAGGGATCTCTGAAATTCAGGACGCACTCTTCCTTACCTCCAATGTAGAATAGCAGACCAATTTCCCTTTGATGGTCAAGATCAATCACCTAGCCAGTGCAGTAACTCCCTTCTTTGCCTGTTGAATCAGAGGCATAAGGAGGCCAAAGTGGCCAGGCAGCAGTCTTAACTTCCAGTTCAATGGACTCATTGTGTCTCTTGGTAGAAGCATTCCTCATTTTGAACTAAGACTTCTAGGCCAGCAGAGGATAAGATTACAGGAATAGAGAGCACAAATTTTGCTAGTGGATCACTAGGGGTAATAGTGAGTGGTGCAACTCCTATTTCCACCCCTTTAATCATGGACCCCTGAATGAATATGACTATGGAAGAATCCTGAATCCTGGCTATGGAAGAAAAAGCACTATATATTGGTTGCTGATTGAGAGCATATACAATCTTCTTGAGAACCTTGCTCCAGCCCTGTAAACACCACCTAGCTGGTGCTGTAACTAAGTCTTCAAACTCCATTCCACTGTTCTATCAAGTCGGCTGCTTCAGGATGGTGGGGAACACAGTAAGACCAATGAATTCCATGATCGTGGGTCCATTGCCACCTTTCTTTGGCTGTGAAGTGAGTTTCTTGATCAAAAGCAATGCTGTGTGGAATATAATGATAGTGAGGAAGGCATTCTGTAAGTCCACGGATGGTAGTTTGGGCAGAATTCTGTGTAGGGAAGGCAAATCTGTATCCAGAGTAACAATCACATAACACCATTTCTATTTGATGATAGAGTACTGCTGCACACGTCCAACTTTATGGCTTGGTGGACCAGATAACACTCAGTTCACGATGAAGAGCTCAGGTTGCATGGTAGCTTGGTGGCCCATAGATAAGTGTCCAGTTTCTACCAAGGCCCAGTAGCAAGTCAAAGCTGTTTCTTTAAAGAAGAGTAGTTATCTGGGGGGGGGGGGGGGGGGGGGGGACAGGGTTTTGCTCCAAAATCC